GGTTTGACAAGACCTGTGCAATAATTTCAACCAGTGTACTAGTTGTTCGAAGCTAAGTCTCGCTCCTCCATTTTTAGATTAAATCAAAATATGGCTGAATCTTTCTACTTTATTTAATATCGGAGAAATCCGACACCATCAAGAGTTGATTATCGCCCGGATCAGTTAATTAATGTATAATTAATAATTTAGATAACATTTCAGTCCTAAAGAAAGACCTGTAATAGGCAGATTTACCTCTTGCATAATGTATGTTTTGCTGGCTCCAAAAAATAAAAAAAAGCCTTATTCTAAGTACTAGATGTGTTAGTGTCCTACCTGTTGTGTAAATTATCCATTAAATCATATTTTACTTGTCCAGAGGGTTCAAAAATATTTTTAAATCCAAGTCACATTTGAAAAGCTTTACAGGCTTTTCAAATCATTTAGTTGAATTTTTCCATTTTTTTTAAATTAAGTGTGTTAAGATGAAATTTGTATCATCAATTAATTGGAATATTGTAAAATAGTACAATTTGTTGACCAGAATAAAGATTGGGACATATTATTCAGTTACAACAAGAGTGGTATTGCGCCTTTAAGATATGAAACCTGAAATCATCATGGCCCCGTAGGTGTTACAAGACTACAAGTGTTTGTTGGTTTCTGTTATTTCGGTTCTTGTTGTAGTTTTGGGGCTATATATCCTGTAAATCAACGATACGAATGGCCATGGGGGGGTTGGATGGCCGAATGGTTAGCACGTGCGCACTGTATCATACGGTCTGTCATTGAGTCAACTGGCGTGGTTTCGATTTCCCGTTTGTACGTGGCAAGGAGTAGAGTTACCTGTCCAACCTCATGGGTTTTCTCCGGGTCTTCCGGTTTCCTCCCACTGCTAAAGACCCCTACACGCAAGCGAATTGTAGAAATCAAATTGAACCATATGACCTAGTTTGTGTCGAGTGGACGTTAAACCCCATTTCTCTCTCTCTCTCCCCCCCTCTCTCTCTCTCTCTCTCTCTCTGTCTCTCGTGGCCACCCGGGCAGAAGTGAAACCCCTCTTTTGTCAATATCTGAAACCGGGAAACATGCAATGGCCAAGAAGAGTGCTGGACTAAAATAATATGGTTCAATTTGATGTTAATAATTCCAAGTCTTTAGCAGTGGGAGAAACCCCACTAGGTTTGTCAGTCGATCCTACTCCTTGTGCGGTCAAAACCACGCCACTTGACTCAATGACAGACCATGTGAGTTCTGTACAACAATGCACAGTTTTATGGTCTATAAGGTCTGTAAAACAACATTTCTATGGTCTATGAGTTCTGTAAAACAACATTTCTACGAGTCGTATGGTTTATAAGTTCTTTAAAACAACATATCTATGGTCTATACGTTCTGTAAAACAACATTTCTACGAGTCGTATGGTTTATGAGTTCTGTAAAACAACATTTCTATGGTCTATACGTTCTGTAAAACAACATTTCTACGAGTCGTATGGTTTATGAGTTCTGTAAAACAACATTTCTATGGTCTATAAGTTCTGTAAAAAAACAAGAGTGGCAAATGATTCGTGTACCAACGTTAAAATGTTTATTTTGTCTTAAATATTGGATATTAGAAGCCCATCTTTTCCCGTTAAGATCACAACATCAATGTTGATTTAAATTGACAAATAATTTGTGTTTTCAATGTCGAAGACTGTTGATGATATTGAGTTAGAAACTTAGCTACTTTAATTCTTGTACACCAGCATGGCTAATAACGACCGACGTGCGGCATGCAGTGTTCTATGGGGGGACGACATTTTGCTTAGAATGTCAGCAGTGCAGATTGTAGGAACAGTGTATAGTCGTTCGAATGGGACAAAAAACTGATGTCCTTGTAGAAGTTGTATACTATTGACGTGCATGTAAAAGATCTCATGACAATTAGAAAACGAAACAAGAACAGAACATAGTGCAGATCTCTGGGCATATTCTTATCGGTCACATTATTCTGTAATTTCTGTTACGTCTTTTTTTGTAAATTGGTTTTTTTTTATTTGTTTTTTTTTTTCATTTTGAGTGAAGCCTGTACCAGCGCAGTGGATGCTTACGGCTGCCCCCCCCCCCCGATCCATTCATTTGATTTGATATTAACTTGTTTATTTTTTCCATTGTCTATTTTCTGTCTTGTCCGCAGGTTTATCTTGTAGATTTTGTTTTGCATGTAGTGCGGTTCTCCTGTGCTTACTATTAGCACTCTGCATGACGTATGTCCGGTTAGGGCAGAAAAGTAGGATGTTAAAATCATTTTCATTTCATGTCTTTTTGTTACGAAATGTAATGTGGTATAACGTCCTACTGTTCTGCTCCGACTGGGCCAATGAAGACGGGCATCCATACAGTGTGTTATGAGGGATATTTTACACGGACATCGGTGCTACGGCCTTCTCCTATATCGATTTCCAACTGCCAAGCGGTCTTTATGCGCACACCAATGTATACACGGAATCTCAGCTTTCCTTCCCGTCCGAACCACTAGGCCTATATATTGTTGCTTGTCAGGCCCTCTGTCCTGAATCAATGACACTACACGCAGTGGCCCTTGTGGAAAGGGGAAAACATTTGCAATAGAGAATCAAAATGCCAAGATGATTCACATCTTTTCTTCAGCCCTCCAACCTCGTGGGTTTCCTACGGGTCCTCCAGTTTCCTCCCACTGCTAAAGACCCATACGCGCAAGCGAATTATTGAAATAAAATTAGACCATGTGTTAGTCCCGAAATGACCTAGTTTGTGTTGAGTGGACGTTAAACCCCATTTCTCTCTCTCTCTTCTTCAGCCCAGTCGGTGCAGAACAGCCGGACTTTAAACCCTATTTTATTTCATGAATACATGTACATGTAGTCTTCACTCAGTGGTCCTTGTAGAATAGAGGGATTGGGTGGGTGGCCGAACGGTAAACGTGTGCGTGTTGCATTATAAGGTCTGTCATTGAGTCGAGTGGCATGGTTTCGATTCTCCGGTTGTACATGACAAGGATTAGTGTCGCCTGTCCAACCTCGTGGGTTTTCTCCTGGGCCTCCAGTTTACTCCCACTGTTAAAGACCCCTGCGTGTAAGCAAATGATTGGAATAAAATTGAACCATATGTTAGTCCCGAAATGATCTAGTTTGTGTTGAGGTTAAACCCTCTCTCTCTCTCTCTCTCTCTCTATCTCTCTCCCTCCCTCCCTTGTGGAATAGGAAAACATGTGCAGTAGGGATACAAAATACCAAGATGATTCACCTTAAATTGCCAGTGGTTTAGAGTTCATGTGTTCGATACGGTTTACGGTAAATCAAGATAAAGACATGAAACATGTTATAGTCCAGTCCAATGGTTACAAATTAACTTAAGATACGAGGACTAGTGTCCATTGACCTAGAGATTTCACCAGACATAGACTCCTACTAATGATGCACGTAATAATTCGAGTTAGTTAATGAAATGAAATAGGGTTTAACGTCCTACTGTTCTGGTCCTAACTGGGTTAATGTAGACGGGCTACAGATATGTTCTGAAATCATGCACAGTATACCATATATCATGGTATAAAATGATATATTTATGAAATTTTGTTTTCAAACTTGCATCATTCATGCATCTAGAACTGAGGATACAACTTTTCCGTCTTTTTGTTACGGTGGTAAAAGTAGTTTGTAATGGAACTCAATCGATGTCCACTATAACCAACGTACTGCTACATCTATAACGTACTACTACATCTATAGCGTACTGTTACATCTATAACGTACCGCTATACATATATAACGTACTGCTACATCTATAACGTACTGCTATATTTATAACGTACTGCTATATTTATAGCGTACTGCTACATTTATAACGTACTGCTACATCTATAACGTACTGCTGCATCTATAACGTACTGCTACATTTATAACGTTCTTTTGCATCTATAAAGTACTGCTACATTTATAAAGTACCCCCAATAGTATTTGGTTATTGATTACCAATATCACGGGGATCGGCTATCTATGTACCCTTCTGGAGCCTCGGCGACTCAGTGAGTAAGATTTTGGCTCGTAAACTCCGGAGGTCCCGTATTCGACCCCTGTATTGGCAGAGAAAGTGCATCGGGATTTTCCGACGTGCTTTCCCCTTGTCAGTGATGCAGGATGGAGGGCCTGACAAGGGAAGCTGTCTACTCGTTCGGATGAGACGAAAAAAAGAGGTCCCGTGTATACATTGGCGTGCACATAAAAGATCCCTTGGCAGTTGGAATTCGATATAAGATTAAACCACAGTGCTGCTGCCCGCGTAAAATTTTCCTCATAGCACACATAATGGCGTATGCCCGTCTTCATTAGCCCCGTCGGGGCAGAACAGTAGGACGTTAAACCCCATTTCATTTCATTTCCGTTACAGTAGGACGTTAAACCCCATTTCATTTCATTTCCGTTATAGTAGGACGTTAAACCCCGTTTCATTTCATTTCCAATAAACTTTTGTGTTTTCCAACGTCTTCTTAATAAGCAAAGAAGACTGAGTCATCAACATTTCATTGTATCTCTCTCTCTCTCTCTCTCTCCCCCTCTCTCTCTCTCTCTCTCGTTTGTATATCTTTGTCTGGGAGACCAATACGCACATTTCTGCAAAAACTATTTTACTATGCATAGTAAATTCTTTCTCATGTAATATTTATTTTATAGATAAACCTAATACTCAGTCATCACTTCAATTCGATTTATTTCAAATCTTAGTGAAATCGATGAAAAGATAACAACCTTAGTCGATACTAGACTACCCAGAGATAATACTCCTATACAGATAAAATCGAGTGGACGTTAAACCCCATCTCTCTCTCTCTCTCCTTACAGATAACAAACTTAGATTTAATTGAGGATAACCGCTGATAAACCATAAAAGGCTTTTGGGGTCGCATGATAAAAACTGGTCACGTGTGTATCTCTTATATAGAAGTTAAAAATTAAAGTCCGCCCAGATCGTATCAGTATATATGATACCAAACACAGCATTGAAAAGTTAGTTTACAGTCACGCCATCAGTGAATGAGCTGCTGTACCGAAAGTCTTAGAAGTTAACGTTGAAATATTTTTCTGTCTTTGAAAAAAAAATAATCATGAAGACTTTGTTAGTTTTATTTGTCGCCGCAGTAGCTGCTGCCAGTGCCTCAACAGACGATGAGAATTACGGTACGTTTATATTTCTGTTTTTACTGTAGCTTTGTTCACAATATGACTAACATATAGCCTCCATTTTATATACATTTCAATATAGTCAAGTTAGCTACATGTATTATTGACAACTGTAATATGTTTTGGTTCAAATATGTTTTTTTATTATGTTAACGGGCAAAATTGGATGTTTTCCAATTCTGTTCAGCAAGGGGCTTATCTCTTGGACTTGAATTTATTGTAAATTAAGAAGGGGGCGTGACTCGGACGAGTGTACCGCTTTGTTGACAATTATAGACATCATTTATTTAAAACAAATTGTAATTAGGAAGGGAATATTTAATATTTACAATAATCGTGTTATCAGAATCTACAGTCTGTGTTTAGAACAATTGTCAGGAACGTTTCTTCGTATCTATTTATAAGAATTTGCAATTGTTTGGCTATGTACGCAATAACCTATTTCAATGTACTATATATACCGAAGTATATACATGTTTTCCCAGTATACATGTACATACATATCTAACCCTAACGATATACAGCTTGGATGATGGCATCATTCCTCTGTAGGTCACCCATCTCATTTCTGCTCACCTACGATTTGTAATGTAGGGGCGGATCCAGGAATTTTTGCAGGAGGGGTTTTAGTTTGCCAGGCTCCTGTTACGGAAATTTGACAGTTGACAATGCATGATGCCATCATCGTCTCTAAATTACGTAGGCATACATACACATTGAGCTTTTTAAAGAGAGAAATCTAACACCCCGTTTGACGTCAATTTTTATTATGAATTTATAGGATCACATCATTGTGATTCAATTTCATTGATGCAAAGCATTAATTGTGATATCACACATATGTCTATATAAGAATACATATTTTAAACAATAATTATAAACAAATTAAGCGAAAATTCCAATAAAATCTTGGAACGAAATAAAATGAAATGGGGTTTAACGTCCTACTGTTCTGCACCGACTGGGCTATTGAAGACATGCTTACGCCGTACAGAGTGCTATGCGGGGTATTTTGCCAGGGCGGCGGCGCTACGGCCTACTCTCTTTTCGAATTCCAAAGATTAGGGATTCTTTTACGTGCACGTCGGTTTTTCGTCCCATCCGAACGACTAGACACTGTATGAATGTTTTGGTATATTTTTTTTAAAGGCTATGTTCCCATGGTTCGTCAGAATTACGAGATGAAGGTCAACAACCATCTTAGAAGACAAGTGACCCTTGAACTTATGGCTTCATACCTCTACCAATCATATGTAAGATTAAAAACACAACACAGTTTATATGGAAAAACAATCACTGGTTTATAAGTATAGCACGACGTTTCGACAAGTATTCTCTTATCGTTATCAAGCACAAATGATCATCATTTGTGCTTGACAAATGATCATCATTTGTGCTTGATAACGATAAGAGAATACTTGTCGAAACGTCGTGCTATACTTATAAACCAGTGATTGTATTTCCATATAAACTGTGTTGTGTTTTTAATGTGTTCAATCGCTAAATGCCACTCAAGGATCATATGTAAGATATAGTATTTCAATGTATATCATGTATTTATCACAAAGTATCGGTTATTTCATCTGTTAAGTTCAAAGCCCAGCTTAGGCATGGGACTGAGGGCCCGGGCCCAGAGCCCCGCGGTTCATGGCAAACATATCATTTTATGTAATTATTCTTGTATTACAGACCGTTTAATTTTGTGTTTCGCATGCATGCCATTCAAAAGGATATTAAATAATCGTTTCGTCACGTTAGGGGCCCCGCGATTCTAGTCAGGCTCAGGGCCCCGCTCCGGTTAAGCTGGGCTTTGGTTAAGTCATCTTCAAACTACTTCGGTCCGGAAAATCTTTTTTTGACACCAACCGAAAAAAATAACTTAGATTAGATTAACAGTAACAAATATATCTTAATTGTGAAAAGTTAATCTTATTAACTTATTTCGGTCCCCATTTTTGATAGAGCTGAAATTTCACAACGCCGAAGGTATCAGTTCATTATTCGTAATTCGCCATAAAGCTGCTTCCTGGAAACCTTTTTTTTTTTTGACGTTACCGAAAAAATAACTAAGTGTAACGTAACAATCTGTTAAATAATATAAAGTTGTAACATTTTTTTTCAGGCCTCATTTTTCGATCGAGCTGATATTGCTCTCCCAGGTGTAAAGAAATTCTTCTCCGAATCATCGAAAGAAGAAAGAGATCATGCCGAACATCTCATCGAATACATCAACAAACGAGGTGGTAACATGCAGTTCGAAGATGTTAAAGTAAGTTATAATCACTGAAATCAACGAGTTGATTTGATCACAGCATCTTCGACAACCAAAATTTCAGATAATCTAATTACAAGGGTGGATCAATCAATATGGCGCTGGCTCACTGTCCGAGGGCTCCCCTGTTGGTACTCGGTGTCGGGCGAAAAAGGTTCCAGGGGATTTTTCAGTTTGATTTCCCCTTGTCTGTGGTGTAGGTCGAAGATCCTGGCAAGGAAAGGCATCTAGACTTGTTCGCATGTAATGAAGAAACCAAACTACTCTCGTGCACGTAAAAGATACCTTGACATAATTTCTGTCATAGCACACAGGCAAATACTCATCTTTATTATTCCGGTTACTAGGAGGTTAAACCCCATTTAATTTCTACTTAACCAGAAATTTTATTCATTTTTACAGACATTAGTTCCACGTAGCCATGAATTATAAAAAAAAATGGGTTTCTTTTTCTTTTCAGCTTATCGATGCCTGCAACACATTGAGCAAAGAAATGAAAAAAGAGAACTTACAATCAGGCAGACAAGAAACATGTGTAAGTCAAGGGTGTGGCATTTAAAACTGATCATCATCGGGGGAGGGGTACGGGGCACCTTTATCAATATCATAAAAAGTTATTTAGGGATACCGAGCACGTCTAAAACTTAAAATTGGCAAAACATGTGATTAGGGGTGGGGGATACGGGGCTCACCTAAAACTTCATCATCACAAAATGTCATTTGGGGGAGGGGTACAGAGCACATTTAAAACTTATCATCATCGTATAGAGTCATTTAGCGGAGGGGTACAGAGAACATTTAAAACTTCGGGGAAGGGGTACGAGGACTTTAGGTACACTGCACCGGACAGTAGAAGGTGACTTCTTGTGTACCAGTTTAAGAATATTTGGTGGGTTTTCCGATAAGGGGGCGGGGGTCAAGTACCGTCCCGGAAATCCCAAACTCTTGCTTCGCCACTGGTTTATCTGTTTGAGACAAATAACGTGATTTCTGAAAAATAAATTAGTTGGTTCTCAAGGATTTACAAGAACATGTATTTTACCTTTTTTGTCGTTTTTAACCAATTTGACCGTTAAAGATACATTAGTTAAGAGTTTAATAAAGAGTTGGTCATTCTTGCTATAATAATTCAAAAATAGATGATATATTAAAAAAAGAAAATATTGAGAATTTCATTCAAATTACTTCATTCTCAGCCAAGTTATCATTGTTTGTAGTTTTGAAAAGATGTGTGCACAGTGGTAACCAGGGCACTTGTATCATCGGGACTTAGCCTCGCTTTTCCCATTTTTAAATTAAATTTTTAAATAGCGAACCGTTCTAATCTAGTTAAAATCTCGAGTATCCGATGCCACCGAGAGTTGATTATAGTCTGGATAAGTTAACAAATGTCTAATTAATAGTTTATATAACATTTTAGGCCTAAAGAAAGACCTGCAATAGGCAGATTTAGCTCTTGCATAATGTATGTTTAAATAAATTGACCTTTGTTCTTTTTGTTTACTATTGTCTCGTCATGTGTTAATTACATTGAAAGATAAATTAAATTTATTCTTATATAAATATATATGTATGACCTAGATGGCCGAATGAACCGATAAAGGAAGTAAGCAATCAGGTTATCTACTAATGAAATCAAAATCACGATATCCGTTACCAGAACAAAGTACAAAGTCATATTATTTACATATTTAGATAAACAATTATTTGTCAATTTAAATCAACATTGATGTTGTGATAAACATTTTACCACTGGTGCACGAATCGTGTACCATAATGCGTTTCAGTGCCATTTGTACATCGTACTTTATTTAAAGTTTGACAATTATACAAAATGGTAATCGCGTCTTATTTTAGACTCTTAAATAATAATACGTTTAAAATTATACAAAATAGAAATCTTGTCTTATTTTTGTCATTGAAAAAAAAACCAGAAATTTATACAAAATAGAAACCGTGTCATATTTTAGACTCTAAAACAATGAAACGTAAACAACATCGTACTTTATATAAAGTTTGACAATTATGCAAAATGGTAATAGCGTCTTATTTTAGACTCTTAAACAATAATACATTTAAAATTATACAAAAATAGAAATCTAGTCTTATTTTTGTCTCTGAAGAAATAAAAATCAGAAAATTATACAAAATAGAAATCTAAATCTAAACTCTAAAACAGTCAAGCATAACATTATACAAGACAGAGTATACAAGATTAAAGTTCGACAATTTAGACTCTAAAACAATAAAGCATAGAATTATACAAAATAGAAATTTTATTTTAGACTATAAAAGAATAAAAACAGAAAATTATACAAGACAGAGATATTATTATACAAGATCTAAGTCCGACAATTTAGACTCTAAAACAATAAAGCATAAAATTGTACAAAATAGTTATCTTATTTTAGACTATGTAAGAATAAAAACAAAAAATTATACAAAATAGAAATCTTATTTTAGACTATAAACAAATAAAAACAAAAAATTATACAAAATAGAAATCTTTTTTTAGAGTCTAGACGAGTAAAAAAGGGAATAATCTTTTTATTTAATAAGTTGCTGCTTGTCGAATCGAAGCAATAAATTATTTCGCTATGAAATTTAGCAGACATTTGCACTCAATCTGACATACTAATGTTTGTTATGTCATAGGTTTCTGTATGCTGCTTATTTTTTTTTAAATATAATTTTCTATCAAAGATAACATAAATTTCTAAATCTCCCACCAATTGTGTAGGACCTTAAAACTATTAAACATTTCATTGATAAGATTTGAATTATGTTTTTCCTGTCAAGAAGTAGTTTCTTAAAGTGGTAAGACGACTTTGATCAGGTCAAATATAAAATTGCCAATTTCATTCGATTTAATATGTTGATTGTTTTGAGAGATGTCAGTGGGTTTTCCCCGGGTCCTCCGGTTTCCTCCCACTGCTAAAGACTCCTACGCGCAAGCAAATTATTGAAATAAAATTGAACCATATGTTAGTCCCGAAATGACCTAGCTCCTTTAAAGGAAAAGTCTAACAAACATTAACAAATATGTCACAAAAGCCAAAGATTCGTCAAATTATTGCGTAAAACTTGTAAAGAAAGTGTGTGAGTTAGTTGTATTTTACGTCCGCTTCCACCGAGGTGATATCGCATGTCGTATTAAGGATGATATCATCAAAATACTGCTTTTAAACTTTAAAGAATAATGGTGATTCATAAATGGTTTTATTTATCTTACAGATCTGTTTCTTCATGTCCCAAAAGAGAGAAGAGAACACCAAACGTGGTGATGCTACCTGCTCAGTAAGTATGGAAGGTTTCTGTTCTTTAGATTTACGGAGCCGCGGTGGGTCAGTGAGCTCGCTATTAAATCAAAGGGCTCGTGTTCGGTTCCCGTGTTGGCCGAGAAAGTTCATCAGGAATTTCTGGCGTGGTTCCCCATGTCATTGGTGCGGGATGGAGGGGTTGCCAAGGTACAGTGGATGGGACGAAAACCGAGGTCCTGTGAACACATTGGCGTGCACGTAAAAGAACCCATGTCAGTTTGAATTCGATATAAGAGTAGGCCATAGCGCCTGTCTTGGCAAAATTTCCCTCATAGCGTATGTCCGTCTTCATTAGTCCATTCATAACAAAACACGGTATATATATCTGTTATTTAATAACGACGTTTTCAAGCCCAGACGGATAGGAACAATATGACGTTAAACCCCATTTCATTTCTACCTTAGCCCAGACGGATAGGAACAGTATGACGTTAAGCCCCATTTCATTTCTACCTTAGCCCAGACGGATAGGAACAGTATGACGTTAAGCCCCATTTCATTTCTACCTTAGCCCAGACGGATAGGAACAGTATGATGTTAAGCCCCATTTCATTTCTTCCTTAGCCCAGACGGAAAGGAACAATATGACGTTAAACCCCATTTCATTTCTACCTTAGCCCAGACGGATAGGAACAGTATGACGTTAAGCCCCATTTCATTTCTACCTTAGCCCAGACGAGAGGAACAGTAGAACGTTAAACCCCATTTCATTTCATTTATATACTGATTGCTACAATTTTTCATAATATTAAAACTCTACTAACTTTTTTTCAGTCCCCAGTTGAAGATTGGCGTCATGCCCTCATCGCTTTAGAAGATACTTTGGTCATTGAGAAACACGTGAATGCCGAGCTTTTGAACATCCACAAACTCGCCTCCAACAACAACGACCCCCATGTAAGTATTCAATCTATATTTATATTCCAATATTCAGTTTATATTTAAATACAATAAGCTATTAAATTGAGCTGACCTTAAGATTTAGCACTAACCATTCTGTTGCTTTTTTCAGCTTACCAACTTCTTGGAAGATGTCTATCTTACTGAACAAGTTGAAGCCATCAAGAAACTCGCTGGATACATCACCCAACTGAGAAAATTCACCAACGATTACAAACTCGGCGAATACCTCTTCGATCACCGCATGTAGAGAGCGCCATATCTATATTATATATTTCTTATTTCATCAGAAATTCCTTCCAAATATTATTACCTCAAACTGATGAGGTGTTTAAAACCCCGAGGTGTTTTTGATAAGTAATAAGTATGTAATTAATGTTTGTATATTTGTTATTTGAAAGTTTTGAAAGTATTTTTATAAGATTAAATGTCAAGAAGTAGATAGTATTGTGATAAAAATTGTGCGACTTAAAATAAAAATGTACAAAATTTAAATAGTATTTATCACTGCCTTATAATCCCTCTGGTTCCTTGTCCAAACGTTTGGGTGGGGGGGGGTAGATGGCCGAATGGTTAGCGCGTGTGCGGGTTGTATCATAAGGTCTGTCATTGAGTCAGCTGGCGTGGTTTCGTTTCCCCGGATGTACGTGACAAGGAGTAGGGTCGCCTGTCCAACATCGTGTGTTTTCCCCGGGTCCTTCGGTTTCCCACCACTGCTCAAGATCCCTACGCGCAAGCGAATTATTGAAATAAAATTGAATCATATGTTAGTCCCGGAATGACCTAGTTTATCTCTCTCTCTCTCTCTCTCTCTCTCTTGTCACCACACATCTTTGTCCGTCATCCGTTAAACATTTGTGTTTTCCAACGTCTTTCTAATCAACAAAGAAGACCGGGTCATCAACACTTTGTATTCCAAAAGCTGGAAATACAAAAATAATGAAATCCGACAAATTTATAATTATCAAAAGGAACAACTACTATAAATGTTGATGTATACAAAGTTTTATAAATATATCTTGATGGTTTATGATATATATACAGATAAAACCGGGACGGACGGACGGACGGGCGGAAGGGGTCTATTTCAAGAGTCCAGGGGAAGAACGATCTAAGTCACATTTTTGTTTTTTCGCATAAAAGGCAAAACAGACTTGGACGAGAATGCTTGACGCGAACAGAACAACGAGTGGGTTTAATTACGACTTCAAAATGATGTTTAATACGAATCATAATTACCAGTACAACTAGTACAAATTAAGGTCAAATAAATACGATGGACTTGTATTTGTCAAGGAGGACATTTCAGAAGGGCTTTGGTTCGATAGGACTCCGACCGTTTTTTACCTGAAATTGATTATTCCACAGAAAGCTTATACAATTTGCTACCAGATGGGGCCATTAACTGGGGTTTATACAAAAGTGACTTAGATCGTTCTTCCCCATTGCTCTTCATATGATTATCTCCGTTCTTAAACTGTGTTGTGGTCAGAAATCCTCAGTATTTAATACATACATCTTCCTTAAATAAAGGGGATCACGTGGCTAAGTGAGTAAGACGCTGGCTCGCTAGCCTGGAGGTCGGGTGTTCGATCCCTCCATTGGCCGAGAAAGTTCATCCAGATTTTCCGGTGTGGTTCTCCCTTGTCAGTGATGCAGGACGGGGGGTCTGACAAGGAAAGCTGTCTAGTCGTTCGGATGGGACGAAAAACCGAGGTCCCGCGTACATATTGGCGTGCACGTAAAAGATCCCTTGGCAGCCGTCCTTGTCAGGCCCTCCCTCTGTCCTGCACCACTGACAAGAGGAAACCACTCCGGAAAGTCCCGATAAACACCGAAAAATCCCGATGAACACCTGGATAGAATGATTTTAATATTTTAATATCTACGATCAACGACAAAAGGCATCACGATTCTCAGCCCCGCGGTGCATTGTGGTCATTGCCAGATTCCTCCATATTTGTTCATTCTTAGCCACGTGAGTGCCAATATCCGGAATAGTAACTGCACTTGAATTCTACATTAAAACACAATAACACGGGCTTTATTCAGAACAACATAAACTATGAATGCAGTATTTTCATAAATAAGTACCCGGAACCCTGTTTGGCTCGCTATACTGACAGTACTCGCACTCAACTAACCAACAACCGGGGTAGGATTAACCATGAAGCAAAATAAGCACGTGCTTCGGGCATCATAATAATAGGAGCTCCACAGAATGTTTGCTTTGCTAGATGCCAAATTTCAGTTAGTTTGGGGATCATGGTGGCTAAGTGGGTAAGGCGGTGGCTAGCTATCCTGGAGGTCGGGTGTTCGATCCCTGCACTGGTCGAGAAAGTTCATCCATATTTTCCGGCGTGGTTCTCCCTTGTCCGTGATGCAGGACGAAGGGCCTGACAAGGACTGCTGTCTAGTCGTTCGGATGGGACGTAAAATATCCCTTGACAGTTGGAATTCGATATAAGAGGCAAAATTTCCCTCACAGCACACTGTATTATTAACCCAGTTCGGAGCAGAACAGTATGACGTTAAATTTCATTTCATTTCATTTCAGTTAGTTTTTCATTGATTTTATCTTTTCATACTGACATCTTTTATTTTTCTATCAGTAATAGACACATGTACGATAGGATGTGTTATTGGTTAGAATAACCGTTTATAGTCGCAAATGGTAATACGGAAGTGTGCTTGTCTGTTACTCGGGTACACAAAGGTTAGACCTATTTACTAAGGCCATTTGCAGATTTGCTCAAGGTCACGAGATTTAAACGGGGTTAGGGCACGAGATTGTTGCCCTTGAGGAAATCTTCAGATGGCCTTAGTAAATAGATCTAGCCGTAAACATGGAGTTCACTAAACACAGAACAGGAAAAATCCCATCGAAAGTCAAGTTTTAAGTGCAGTGTCAAAGAGTCAATTAAGAATAATGGTCTCGTGCAGATTTTAATAAAGTGATGATTTATTTTGTTATGAACCCTAATTCGCCATCTAACTGATATTGTCTAAATAATTTCCTTCATAGACTTTATTATTGCTATTGAAAAAGGTTTTAGGAGAAGAGTTACATAGGTCATGTCTGTTTTCCAATACCATTCATTTAGAGAGAGAGAGAGGGGGGGGGGAGAGAGAGAGAGAGAGGTGGGGTTTAGCGTCCACTCGACACAAACTAGGTCATTTCGGGACTAAAATATGGTTCAATTTTATTTCATTAATTCCCGTGCGCGTAGAAGTCTTTAGCAGTGGGCGGAGGACCTGGAGAAAACCCACAAGGTTGGACAGGCGACCCTACTCCTTGTCACGTACAACCCGGGAATCGAAACCACGCCAGTTGAATCAATGACAGACCTTATGATACCACGCGCACGCGCTAATCATTCGGCCATCCAACCCCCACCTCCAATTTATGATTAAAATATTGTTTTGAATAACAATGCCGCATTCCCGATTTTAAGGTAAGACTTTATAATTGATATGTAAGGCCCTGGCCCCGAGTTCACAAAACATTCTCAGACTCAATTTAAGAATTTACTCCACTTTCAATCACTGTTTATGAGAAATATCTTTGATCCAACACAAAACATAGTTCCTTATTGGTGTATTGATACATTATTAAAACAAACGTTTTATAAAGTATGGAAGCCTATAACTACCTCGTTTTTTCCTAATTTCTTATTTTCGACTTGCATTTTGGCTTGTATACCGTCTTGTCGACTTTCGACATAGTCATATTTCTGTATTTATTGATGTCAGTAAGACGGCGCCAACACGCATACCAAGCCAAAAATAAATACAAAAATATGACTAAGTCGAAAGTCGACAAGACGGTATACAAGCCAAAATGCAAGTCGAAAATATGAAATTAGGAAAAAACGAGGGGCGCTATTATCGCTGTGTGTTATTTCTTAATTTCCTATTTTCGATTTGCATTTTGGCTTGTATAGCGTGTTGCGCCTTCTTACTGACATCAATAAATACAAAAATATGACTAAGTCGAAAGTCGACAATACGGTATACAAGCCAAAATGCAAGTCGAAAATAAGAAATTAGGAAAAAACGAGGGGCGCTATTATCGCTGCGTGTTATTTCTTAATTTCCTATTTTCGAGTTGATTTTGGCTTGTATAGCGTGTTGTCGCCTCACATTTTGTCACAACTTCTACTTTTCGACTTTCGTGTTTTGAAGAGGCGAAAAGTAGAAATTATGAATGGTAGTTATAGGCTTCGATAATAAAGGGCTACATTTTAGTTAAAATATCCGAACAGTTTTGAGTAAATTCTCAACTTAAGTCTGATAATGTTTTGTGAAACCGGGGCTTGGGTTGTAAACATGGTCCAAGACAAATTTCGAGGGAAATTTGCCAGCACTCTTGCGTATCCATTTTGTTTTTATACGCCCACATTTTCATGTGGACGTATATTGTCGTCGCCCCTGTCCGTCTGGACGTCCGTCCACAATTGTTTGTGGACACTCTACAGGTCACAATTTTTATCCGATTTCAACGAAACTTGAAATATAGGTTTATCTCCCTAAGATCTCGGTTCCTGTCGATATTAGCATGTATTATCAGACCGTAACTTCATGGATTATGGCCCCTGATTGTACGAAAAATTGCGTTTTTAGCTTGTGGTCCCTCTAGAGGTCACAATTTTTATCCAATTTAAAACAAACGTTTGAATATATCACCGTTACACCCTAATGATGGTTGAGTTCGAATTTTGTGAAAATCGGACCAAAACTGCTGGACAAAATGGCCGCCCATCGTACGCTAATAGTGTAAAAATATGGTATATCAAGGTTGTGGACTCCCTAGAGGTCACAATTGTCACCCGATTTTGATGAAACTTGAAATGCAGGTTTATAACCCGAAGATGTTGGTTCCTTTCGATATTCACGCATATCGGATCGTAACTTCCTGAATTATGGCCCCTGTACGAAAAATCACGTTTTTAGCTTGTGGTCCCTCAAGAGGTCACAATTATTATCTGATTTAAAAAAACGTTCGAATATGTCACCGTTACACCGTATTGTTGGTTGAGTTCGAATTTCATGAAAATCGGGTCAAAACTGCGAGACAAAATGGCCGCCCGTCTACGCAAATAGTGTTTATAACCCAAAGATCGTGGTTGCTGTCGATATTTGCGCATATCAGTTCTTAACTTCCTGAATTATGGCCACTGATTGTACAAAAAATCGCTTTTTATTCAGCTTGTTCTCTATCCATCTCTTGAAAAAAGTGGGCGTATCCTGCCTGGCAGCCGCTGGTTTATATTACCAAAATGCAAATAAGATGATGTGAAAATATTATATAATGTCACTTTAAACAAGCAATGTGCAACAGCTAAATCCGCCTATTACAGGTCTTTCTTTTGGCTTTAAATGATATTGGTATCGATTACCCGGTTGTACGTCACAAGGAGTGGGGTCGCCTGTCCAACCTCGTGGGTTTTCTCCGAATCCTCCGATTTCCTCACACTGCTAAAGACCCCTACGCGCAAGCGAATTATTGGTAAAAAAAATTGAACGATATGTTAGTTCCGAAATGACCTAGTTTGTGTCGAGTGGACGTTAAACCACATTTTTCTCTCTCTCTTTCAAATGGGTGTGGCGCCAGGCAGGGTAAGCTTACTCTTCCGGACACCTGTTACCACTGTTTGTCGTGTATTTTGTACACGGTGAACAGTCCATATGCTGATTACACTATTTTGCCTTATTACACTATAGGACTATATTCACATGACAAGCCTATAATCAACTCTCTAGGACATAGGATGGCCGATATTCAAATGGAAAGGAAATGAAATGAAATGGGGTTTAACGTCCTACTGTTCTGCTCCTAACCTGGGCTAATGAAGACGGGCATACGCCACACAGTGTGCTATGAGGGAAATTTTGCCCGGGCAGTGGCGCTACGGCCTACTCTTATATCGAATTCCAACTGCCAAGGCATCTTTTACGTGTACGCCAATGTGTACACGGGACCTCGGTTTTTCGTCCCATCCGAACGACTAGACAGCTGTCCTTGTCAGGCCCTCCGTCCTGCATCACTGGCAAGGGGGAAACCACGCCGGAAAACCTGGATGAACTTTCTTGGCCAATGCAGGGATCGAACACCCGACCTCCAGGCTAGCGAGCCAGCGTCTTACCCGCTTAAGATATTCAAATGGATTAGAACCCCCGCGAGATTCATTAATATATGCAAGATCTTGTCAAAACTTCCAATACTCATAACTTCGCTCATAATCAAATAAATTGAATGAAATTTTCAATATATTTATTTTGCATTGTCTATTTTGAACTGGGGGGTTGGATGGCTGAATGGTTAGCACGTGCGCGCTGTATCATGAAGTCTGTCATTGAGTCAACTGGCGTGGTTTCGAATCCCCGGTTGTACGTGACAAGGAGTAGGGTTGCCTGTCCAACCTCGTGGGTTTTCTCCAAGTCCTCCGGTTTCCTCCCTCTCTCATTTTGAACTATTATAGAAAGAACGACCAGCTCTTTATCTAAATCTTACATAATGTATCTTTAAGCATGCGCGTAAATTGACACCTCGTGACTGCGCAAGCCCGTTTTGATTATATGCCTAATCAGTGCAGAAAGGGAAAACATTAACACCATGATGCATCGTGTTACCTTCTTTAATTAGAAATTTACTCTCAAAACAATTAAGATAAGGGGGAAAATAGTGTCTTCTCAGATATCTTCTGTCCATGAGCTAGCATTTTTTATAATAGTTTTTTTTTATATAAGTAGATTGCGGATTTGTAATTGGAATTTAATGACGTTTAGGTCCTTTGTTTATTTGACTAATGGTTGGTTAGCTAGCACATGCGCTTTGCATCATAAGGCCTGTCATTGAGTCAACTGGCGTGGTTTCGATTCCCCGGTTGTATGTGACAAGGAGTATGGTCGCCTGTCCAGCCTCGTGGGTTTTCTCCGGGTCCTCCGGTTTCCTCCCACTAAAAAGACCCCTACGCGCAAGCGAATTATTGAAATAAAATTGAACCATATGTTAGTCCCGAAATGACCTGGTTTGTGTCGAGTCGACTTTTAACCCCATTTCTCTCTCTCTCTCTCTCTCTCTATTTGATAAATGGAAACCGTTTTCTGTCCATGTTACACGACATGCAACTGTCTGACAATAACAAGGTCTGACAATGAGCCAAGCCGCGTGGTTTCCAATCCCCGCTTGTACGTGACAAGGAGTAGGGTCGCCTGTCCACCCTCGTGGGTTTTCTCCGGGTCCCTCGGTTTCCTCCCACTACTAAAATGACCCCTGCGCGCTAGCGAATTATTAAAATAAAATTGAAACATTTTTTAGTCCTGAAATAACCTGTTTTGGTTTGTGTCGAGTGGACTTTAAACACACACACTCTCTCTCTCTCTCTCTCTCTCTCTCTCATTGGTGGTATCATAGACCCTAACGTGGTATCGAAGTTGGCCGGGAGAGTTTCTCGGGATTTCGCGGCGCGGTTTCCCTTGTTAGTTGTGCAGGACGGAGGGCCTAACAAGGACAATGTTTAGTCGTTAGGATGGGACGTAAACTCGAGGTGTCATGTACACATTGGCGTCCACTTAAAAGATCCCTTGACAGTTGGAATTAGATATAAGAGTAGGGCGTAGTGCCACTGTCCGGGCAAAATTTCCCTCGTAGCACATGTTCGTCCTCATTAACCCAGTCAGTGCAGAAAAGTAGGACGTTAAACCCCATTTCATTTTATGTTATATTAGTCCAAAATGTCTGGACAAATGTCTGGAAAATATGGCAGCTGATTGGCATCATGTCGTGAAGTCGGGTTGTCGCCCTTCATAAGGCGACAACCCGACTTCACGACATTTTAACCCGACATTACGACAATCCGACATCACGACAACCCGACATTTTAAGGCGACAATACGATATTTTCACCCGATACCACAACATTAAAAGTCGCAATGTCTCGTAAAAATGTCGTAACGTCGCGTAAAAATTTCGTATTGTCGGGTTAAAATGTCGTGATATCGGACTGTCGTGATGTCGGGTTAAAATGTCGTAATGTAAGATTGTCGTGTTATCGCCTTATGAAGGGCGACATGACGACATGATACCAATCAGCTACCATAGATAAAGAATGAATAAACAGGCAACATGATTCGAGAGATGAAACTGATATGAAACTTGTGGTGACCTTAATTTCAAATAATTTGATATCACATCTAGATAGGAGGGACCTAATTTTATCAACAATGCTAAGGCCGTATATCTGCATATCTATATAAAGACTTATCTTAGATATATGTGGGATACAAAGTTCAGATGAACAAACAATAGTTTATAATTATTTGAGTTATATAGTCTAGGTTTAGAAACATCGGTGTCAGTAGCATCATGTATAAATTCGCAGTCTTAGTTGGTGTGTGTTCCCTGTTATTGGTTATTCCCACCCTCACGTGGAGGAATAAAGCCATTGATGACAGTTGGGATGATGATGACGATGCTTGGCTTCAGGGAGATGATCCAGCTGTTGTAGAGGAGGTAGATGATGCCCCCGACGCGAACATTGATGACAATGAAGGTATTAGTATATTAATTTATTTAAACATACATTATGTAAGAGCTAAATCTGTCTATTACAGGCCTTACTTTAGGCCTGAAATGTTTTCTACATTATTAAACATACATTATGCAAGAGCTAAATCTGCCTATTGCAGGCCTTACTTTAGGCCTGAAATGTTTTCTAAATTATTAGACATTAATGAACTTATCCAGACCATATCAATTCTCGATGCCCTCGCTAGCCTGCGATATTTACTGGATTATAATCCGATCTGCTGCTCAACGCTCATTCATGATTAAATCAAAAACTGGATAATTAAGACTATATTTTATACTAGCGACTTTAGTATTGATGATCGAGGCTAGGCACAGAATTCAATCGCTAAATTCTCGGTTCGGAGTGGATCAATTTGACTGAAATGTTCAGCAATTTGCCTTTACATTATCTAGTTTTTAACTATTATAGTGAGAACTGCCAACTCGTTATCTAATCGTCCATAATGTACCTTTAATTAATTATTATGTGGTTATAGATTATGGAATGGTATACGCCTTTATGCCTGGTTAAACATAAATTATGCAAGAGTTAAATCTGCCTATTGCAGGTCTTTCGTTTAGCCTCAAATATTATATAAATCATTTATTAGACATTCTTCACGTCAGACCCATAATCAACCCTCTAAAATATCGGGCGGTTATGATTTTTAGCGGATTTTATAAATTGATAATCGAGACTTTGTTTATTATCGTAACAACGGTAGCAATGACAATCGAGGCTACACCATCCTTCAAACTTCGTTCAGAATGATGTAATTTGACTGAAATGTTCAATATTTCATTTTCATTATCTATTTTTTAAACCATCATATCGAGAACTGCCAGCTCCTTATCGAAATCTTACATAATGTACCTTTAAGCATGTAATTATGACAAAGGTTATTTTACCTGTCCGTCAATGTGGGTAAACGGGTGGATCTTGGATGAGAGCTTTTGTTCCACCCGAACTACCAGGCAAGATGACATTGCCAACACCTGAAAAATGGCTAGGACTCGGCCAATGTCGGGATTCGAGCGGGTGTTTCTTGTCGGGTGTAAAGCTTACAATGTACACGATTATAGCCCGAATGATTCTTATTCTTTTCTCTACATTTCAACTGTCCAGGCGATTTCTGACTCAATATATAGTATAACGCCCATTCGATAGAAACTAGGTGGTTTCGGGACTAACACATCGTTCAATTTTGTTTCAATAATTCGCTTGCGCGTAGGGAGGAAACCGAAGGACCCGGAGAAAACCCACGAGGTTGGACAGGCGACCCCACACCTTGTCACGTGCAACCGGGGAATCGAAACCTCGCCAGTTGACTCAATGACAGACCTTATGATACAGCGCGCAACCATTTGCCCCCCCCCCCCCCCAAAGACAAATGAGACCGAGTAATAAAAATTATATTCCATGGAATTGTGACCAATGTCGTTTCTTTTAAATCTTTGAAATATAGCATGATATTAAATTATATACGTGTGTATTCTTTCAGCTGGTCCAACCAATGTTAATGGTGCCAATATTGTCAAACAACGGTTCCATTACAACAGCATCATGCAGTTAAATGGTAGAATCAACGATAGCTTGGCCACAAGTTACACCTATCTCACCATTGTAAGTTGGATGTATTACGGTGGCTAAGTGGGTAAGGCGCTGGCTCGCTAGCCTGGAGGTCGGGTGTTCGATCCCTGCATTGGCCGAGAAAGTTTATCCCTTGTCAGTGATGCAGGACAAAGGGCCTGACAAGGACAGATGTCTAATCGTTCGGATGGGACTAAAAACCGAGGTCCCGTATACTCATTGGCATGCACGTAAAAGATCCCTTGACAGTTGGAATTCGATATAAGAGAAGGCCGTAGTACCGCTGTCCGGGCAAAATTTCCCTCATAGCACACTGTATGGCGCATGCCCGTCTTCATTAGCCCAGTTCGGAGCAGAACAGTAGGACGTTAAACCCCATTTCATTTCATTTGTAAGTTGGATGTATCAAAATCTGTAGCCCCCAATATCAGTTGGGGGGGGGGGGGAGATGGCCGAATGGTTAGCACGCGCGCGCTGTATCATACGGTCTCTCATTGAGTCAACTGGCGGGGTTTCGATTCCCCGGTTGTACGTGACAAGGAGTAGGGTCGCCTGTCCAACCTCGTGGGTTTTCTCCGGGTCCCCCGGTTTCCTCCCACAGCTAAAGACCCCTACGCGCAAGCGAATTATGGAAATAAAATTGAACCATATGTTTGTCCCGAAATGACCTAGTTTGTGTCGAGTGGACGTTAAACCCCATCTCTCTCTCCAAAATCAGTTAACAATGTAAATGTTTGCCTGAATGCTACTATTTTGCCCGAATGCTATGCATAGTGCAACAGTTTGCCTGAATGCTATAATGTGTGTAAAAATTTGCCTGAATGCTATGCAGAGTGTAAACGTTTGCCTGAATGCCCTACAATCGAAATATTATGAGTTTTGTTGCAATCACGGATGAGTTTTATATTAACAATAAGTATAGTACTCAATATCTGAATTAAAATTTGATAACATTATTTTTTCGTTGTTGTATTTTAGGCTTTCTATTTCGACCGAGCTGATGTAGCCCTCCCTGGTTTTCACAAGTTCTTAATGGAGGCTTCAGAGAACGAAAGAAAAGATGCCACGAAATTAATGGCTTACATCAACAAACGAGGTGGATGGTTCAAACTGAGGAGAATCGTACGTTTATTTTGTTTACTCTCTCTCTCTCTCTCTCTCTCTCTCTCTCTCTCTTCGCTCTCTCTCTCTCTCTCTATTACTCGGTTCTGTGTGGGTGGGAATGTCTCGTATATAGTTTTGATTTGAGTTAAGAAGTAGCCCCAGGGGACGTTACACCCCCTCTCTCTCTCTCTCTCTCTCTCTCTCTCTCGGTTCTGTGCGGGTGGGAGTTTCTCATATATAGTTTTGATTTGAGTTAAGAAGTAGCCCCAGTTTTTCTGAAGGTAGTGGGGTCAATATATAAAATTAAAAACAGCATTACTTGATAACGTAGAGAGAATGCTCTTCGAATCTCGCCAAAATATAAAAGTAGCTGTTTTCTGTAAGTACGTGAAATAGTTTATTACTCTATCCCAGTGATGACCTCAGACGCGACCTTCCACTACAACTGGTCAGATCTTCATGTAGTTGAGGCCATCGAAAGAATAAAAAAACGATCTGTATTTGAATGAGATTGTACTATTTATATATTCAGGTAGCCGAAGAGAGACCATGGACAAGTGGTCTACAAGTATTGGAATACATGCTGGCTCATGAAAGATTCATGAATGATAACTTCTTGTATACACACAAAGTAGCCAGTGAAAGCAACGATGGACATGTAAGTTAATCACCATGAACTGCTCTCCATGGGCTAAATCTATTTGTCAAGGCCATTTCAATTTTTGTCAAGGTTGCTAAAGATGTAAATAGGGTTAGGGCACGTGATTATTGGCTTAGGGTAAGCATTGGGGCTAGGTCCAGGGTTTGGATTAGGGCTGGGATTAGCGGTATCCCTGTTTACATCTCGTGACCTGTGACGAAAAATTCAACCGACCTTATCATTTAGCACTAACCGCTTTGCAAGGACTACTCCTTTTATTCTAGTTGTTGTTCTTTGGGGTGACTATCTTCGAATAAAAGACCAAGGCTCTGTTAATTCATGTACGATGGACATGCCTGTTCCTTTGACAACTGCACATCGATCGATGGATTTGATGTGACGTCACAATTCTAAGATGTTTGCGATGACGTCATAGTCAGTTCCTGGTCTATAGTACAGTAGTACTTTAGGGGGGGGGGGGGGGACGGGGACTACCTTCTGAAAAGATGGCGCGCAAACTCATACGCTGCGATGTTGCTGTAAATTCAGAAATTCTTTGTTAAGTGGATTGTACAGATTGGACCAGGGTGTGTTTCGCTAATAAGATTTCTGATGGCCATTGAACCCCAAATTACACCTGACCCGAGAATGCTTTGTGAACTAGGAGCCTGACGCCATTTGTTCGTTTCACATAATCAAAACAATAACAATTTTGTCTTGTGTATTTAGCAGAATTGTTAGGATGTTGTAATATCTTGTATAAGACGCCGGCTTCCATGTTTTTGTAAAACATATTTGGCTTGCAAACCCAAAATTGTACGAAATCGCCATTTTGTTTCTTTTGCAGTTGACCGATTTCCTTGAGGGAGAATTCCTTGAACCTAGAGTGGAATTCATCAAGAAATTGGGTGGTTACATCACTCAGCTCAAATCCTTCTCCAAAGATTACAATCTGGGAGAATACATTTTTGATGAAGAACTTTAAATTCCAGCCTTTAAATGTACCAATCAAATCAGCTGAAACAAAAAAAAAACAGACCGATATTTAAAATCATATCGTCCAATTAAATCAGCTGTAGCAAAACAAACTGATATTTAGAATCATATCGTCCAATTAAATTGTCTTATATTTGCAAGAAATAATGATAGAAGATGAAATTCTGTATCAGTCATCTGGAATAAAATAATAAAAACATTACCCTCCTCTTTTTGTTCACTATTTATCTCCTTTAGTTATTGTTAATAGGGAGTAGGGTCGCCTGTCCAACCTCGTGGGTTTTTCTCCGGATCCTCCGGTTTCCTCCCACTGCTAAAGACCCCTAAGCGCAAGCGAATTATTGAAATAAAATTGATCCATATGTTAGTCCCGAAATGACCTAGTTTGTGTCGAGTGGACGTTCAACCCCATATAACGCCAGTTGACGCAATGACAAACCTTATGAGATAACGCGCACGCGCTAACCATTCAGTTCCCCCCGCCCCCCCCCCCCACCTCCGGCCGCTAGACTAACATGGGCTCACAAATGAAAAGACAGCAAGAAAACAAAAAACATCTTCAGACCAAAGGCAGCAAGAAAAAAAAAAACATCTTCAGACCATCGTTTGGTGAATTGTCTCAACTTCATACGACATATGCTTCGAAATTATAAATGTTTGCTCCAATTAGTTTAAGAAGTGGCGTGGGTGGTGTACGAAGCATTTTGTGCTTACTCGTGCTACTATATCCGATATCATAATTCTGCATACAGAGGTCCATCTGCTTTATACTTCGAGAATAGATCTCTGCCGTAAATGGCCGCCATATCTAAAATTTAGTATACTGTTTTGTAATGCGATTCTACTCCTTTTCGCATCTGTCATACACACAAAGACTAAATAAACTTTTTCATTTTATTAAATGGAAGCAAAATAAATACTTAACAAAATTCTCGAAAATGAAATGAAATGGGGTTTAACGTCCTACTGTTTTGCTCCTAAACTGGGCTAATGAAAACGGGCATACGCCATACAGTGTGCTATGAGGGAAATTTTGTCCAGGCAGTGGCGCTACGGCCTACTCTTATATCGAATTCCAACTGCCAAGGGATCTTTTACGTGTACGCCAATTTGTACACGGGACCTCGGTTTTTCTTCCCATCCGAACGACTAGACAGCTGTCCTTGTCAGGCCCTCCGTCCTGCATCACTGACAAGGGGAAACCACGCCGGAAAATATTGATGAACTTTCTCAGCCAATGCAGGGATCGAACACCCGACCTCCAGGCTAGCGAGCCAGCGTCTTACCCACTTAGTCACGTGATCCCCAAAAATTCTCGAAGTATACTTTTAATGTTTTCGACTACAATCGTCGATTTAGGACTTAAAATGTCGGTCAACTAGCCTGGTGTCTGTTCTCAAGTGGAGCTAACTGTAGACAGACATATTAAGTTTAGTATGTCCCTATTATAGGAGTTTAGAAAGGGTATAGTCGTTTCTGGATCTTGTGTCTATCATAGGGAATTCCATGGGAAGCTTCATCTCCAATTACTTTAATTTTCAACTATATTGTAATAATTGCTGCCAAGTCCGAAACCTTAAATTGAGCCCTACGTTGTCTCCTATAAATTGGGGGATGGTGGGCGAATGGTTTAACACGCGCCCTTTGGATCATAAGGTCTGGCATTGAGTCAAGTGGCGTGGTTTCGATTCCCCGCTTGTAGCCTACGTGGCAAGAAGTAGGGTCTTTTGTCCAACCTCGTGGGTTTTCTCCGGGTATCCGGTTTCCTACCACTGCTAAAGATCACTACGCGGATTACTGCAATAAAATTGAGCAATATATTAGCCCCGAAATGACCTAGTGTGTGTCGAGTGAACGTTAACCCTTATTTATATCTAAGGGAGTTAACTCTTGTTTTGCTCTAAAAAATACTCGGACTCCTTCGGCATCCGTTGGAAAGTTTCACAAGAATCCAAAATAGTTTGTTGAAGAAAGTTAAAGCTACATACAATTCCCTTTATAACAAATTAGGGGGACAAAGGTTGTGTCAAATGACAGCCCCAAATAAGGGTATGTGCATGCCGTTACGCAAGAACATGCAACAACACAGTATTTACCATCCTCATCCAACTAAGCCAAGTCTTACACTCCCCCGCGTGCACGACCCTTGTCACTGTTTGCAGTGTTAAATACCAGTAAACGATATATTTAGTTGAATTGATTGTTTATGGCTGATTTTCCAGCGTGGTTTCCCCTCATCGGTGGTGCAGGACAAAGGGCCTGACAAGGGCAGCTGTCTAGTCGTTCGGATAGGACAAAAACAGAAGTCCCGTGTACACATTAACATGCACGTAAAAGATCCCTTGACAAAACCGAATTCGATATAAGAGTAGGACGTAGCACCGCTGTCAGGGCAAAATTTCCCTCATAACACACTGTATGGCGTATACCTATCTTCATAAACCCAGTCGGAGCAGAGCGGTAGGACGTTAAACCCCATTTCATTTCATTTCATTACATGTGAGTGACTAGTTAATTGCTGTGTTGTGTGGCCGCCCCGCGCTTACTACTTAGTTGAGGAATGTACGACGTTTCGGCCACAGAGAAGTTTCTTTTAAGCCTAACCGGGGGGAGGGGGGTGGCCGAATGGTTAGCGTGTGCGTGTTTTATCATAAGGTCTATCATTGAGTCAACTGGTGTGGTTTCGATTCCCCGATTGTACGTGACAACGAGTAGGGTCGCCTCTAACCTCGTGGGTTTTCTCCGGGTTCTCCGGTTTCCTCCCACGGTTAAAGACCCAACCACGTGCAAACAAATTATTGAAATAAAATTGAACCATATGTTAATCACTGGATTACTAATTATACTGTACCACTATTTTTAGATTGGAATAAATATTTATTTTATTGTTTTTGTTTTGTAGGATCAACTAACTGGATCTCCATAATTTCATGTCATATATGTATAATATTCGGTGGAGCCAACCCTGATCAACATATATTGAAGGGGTAAACACAAAAACACATACGTATGAAAAATAGCTGCTGGTATATTTTAGAACGTTTGAAGGACGTCGACTAGATATAACAAACTCCATGGTCGTCTTAAAAGCATTACAGGCTCTCGGACAAAGCCGTACCCTGGGGGATAACCATCCACATGAATAAATCAGAGACGAATGACAACGCCCATTTGTAACTTAATAACAGACATTTATAGTAGGGTATTATTTATTGACAGCAAGTTACAAGATACATATATTTGTATGGGTCCCCTATACCTGCAAGTTACCCGGCTGGGCCCACGCCTTACGACGATCCTGGCGAACCTGCATTGGATATGATGACCAAGTCAAAGTTTATATTGTCTTGGCTGTACAGTGTACACTACCCCCTACTCCCAGCACCCACATCCCACCTCCATACACACACACACACACACACACACACACACACCTTTTAGAAATAAGAAATTCGGTATATTTTAAATACAAAGAAAGCGTTAAGAACTGGTTTTGGGTTGAGGGGGTTTATGTTCATAGGAAGAAAAGGGAGATAACTTGTATAGGCCTGCTGTCTGGAGTTAGAACACTTACACAAAGTTGACTAGAGATTTATTAGTGAATGTTGATTTCTATATAAAAACTGAGGAAACTAAAATATTTATATGATAAAAAAATTCTTATTTAATTTCAACAAAATGAAAGGCTATATATACTAAAGTTAGCGAAATGAAATCAGTTTTAAGCAGATTTGTGAATTGTCCACATCGTCATGACGTCATTTGGATAATATGACAAGACTGCTATATATCAATTTAAATGACACAAACTAGGTCATTTCGGGACTAACATATGGTTCAAGTTTATTTCCATAATTCGCTTGAGCGTAGGGGGCTTTAGCAGTGGGAGGAAACCGGAGAACCCGGAGAAAACCCACGAGGTTGGACAGGCGACCCTATTCCTTGTCACGTACAATAGGGGAATCGAAACCCCGCCAGTTGACTCAATGACAGAAATTATGATACATCGCGCACGTGCTAACCATTCAGCCATCCAACGCCCCTCAATTTAAATAAAATCAATGATGTATGTATGTCTGTATGTTCGCCCATCACGTTTCATCGCCGCAATCCACCCCTACATGATATGTGGAATCAAATTAACTAGCATGATCCTGTCAATGTTTTAGACCATCGAATTTGGACCCCGGGCGAATTTGGGTCCCGGGCGAATTTGGGTCCTGGGACAATTAGACCCCGGCAGAATTTAGGGCCCAGGGCGAATTTGGATGCCAGGCGATTCCTGCTAGTTGTATATAATCTAGAATAGTGGACCTGTAAAATACATTATGAACAATAAAAACAACTGATTATATAAATTTGAATGTAATTATTTGTGAGCCACGGTGACTCAGTGAGAAAGATGACTGCTCGCTAACAAGGAGGGCTCCTGGTTTTAGTCGAGAAAGTTCCTCGGGATTTTTCCAGCCGGTTTTCCCCTTGTCTAGTCGTTCGGAAGGGACAAACAACCGCGGTCAAGTGTACATATTGGCGTGTACGTAAAAGAACCCTTGACAATTGCAATTCGAAATATGAGTAGGGAGTACATGGTGTATGCCCGGCTTCATTAGCCCAGTCAGTGAAGAAAAGTAGGACGTTAAACCATATTTCATTTAATGTAATTATTTTGTCCAAAATGTCTGGACAACTCTCTAGTCATTCGGATGGGACGAAAAACCGAGGTCCCGTGTGTACATTGGCATGCACATAAAAGATCCCTTGGCAGTTGGAATTTGATATAAGAGTAGGCCATATAGCGCCGCGGCCCGGGCAAAATTTCCCTCATAACACATCGTATGGTGGATGCCCGTCTTTATTAGCCCAGTCGGAGCAGAACAGTAAGATGTTAAACCATCATTTCATTTTATTTACAAAATGTCTGATAAGTGTTGTTTGTAATCTATCTTAATTGTGTTTATAGCCATAACAAAATTTTATAGTGAATAATATCATGTAGCATAATAACAACGAGAAAATCCGTGTGCGGATCCAGAGGAGGTGTTGGGGAGAGGGGGGGGGTCCAACCCCCATCCTGCTCAGCTACATAGAAAATTTATAAAACAACACTTTTATGGGAGAATTGCCACGACCGTGTGTTTTATCCTTTATCATCAAATGGTGGAATGGGATGGGCATTCAAAGTGTGAGATAATGATATAGACA